AAACACTGAGGGGACAGTGATCTGCTCGAGCATGACATGAGCAAGACAGCAGCTGAGCACATAGTCTGTTCTTCAGCAGGATCTTTAAATGTTCTGCTGCAGCTCTGTGCAGAACCAGGCTGCACAAACTGTACTTCATGAGTCCACAGTGTCACCACAGTTGACACAGCTGTGTGTCTCTAAACACATTTGCACAAACTGATAACTGAATCAATCGTTGAGGCGACGCCAGACTTCAGGGTCTTCGGTCTGAATCAATCCTGCATTATTTCCCACAACAGGAGCTCTGCTGCTTTTCTTTCTTTTTTTTTTGCGTAACAAAGGTGAGCGTCAGCCGTCTGCCGATCCCTTTTCATTTCATAACACGAGCGCGCAGCACAAGGTAGAACACTTTTCTCCTCTTTACCCAGATTATTCAACAAGCTCGTAAAGTTCCCGCCGCTTCCATCCCCGTGGGCTGCTGTGAGTCAGTCGCCACCGCCGTGTGAGCAGCACAGCAGCCTGGCAGAGACCAAGCCAAACACTCCTGTCCCTGATCTGAACTATAAATGGTTTTCAGAGCACCAAAGGCTTTTTCTTTTTTTCTTTTTCTGCCTTGACCTCAGGGTTAGTCAATCGAGAGTGCAAACATGGTTGTTCCAGTCCTTGGACAGTGTTCACATAGTTCTAAGAATCAGGTTAATTTGTAGGTGCTGTTTACAGCAACATGTTGGACGAACCTGCAGAATGAAACAACGCACCGTGATGCGCTCCAGTGTTTATACATCCATGCACATGTGGACGTATGTACAAATACAGGTTGCAACACACTTGTGAGCTGCACACACACACGCATGCACACGGCCTGCAGACACGAAGCAGAACGAGTTTTACTGCTAGAATGGGGGAGGATGGATCCTTTATTTAACTCTTCAAGGTGAGGTGAAAACACCTCCATGTGTTTGGGCTGTGATAACACGCTCGCATTTTGTAAACTATTACAACACCACAGCTGGTTCAACCCTGACCGGCGCCGCCCCCGCCGGCGCACAATGGGACCTCGCCGTTCCCACATTTCTTCCAGCATCAACACCACAGAGCCCATGGAGACAGATGGTCTCATGTCCAGTAGCAGGGTTCAGTATTCTGCTGCCGTGGCTGCTTGTCCTCACTCTGCACAGAGAGGCTGGCTAATAATTTGTCAGCCCCTGTGGGGTATGAGGCCAGCATGTCAACAACAGGCCCAGTGTTTCTCAGGCCAGCAATGGAGATTAGAGAGCGAGGCTGATCCGGCCAATCTGCAGGCGAAGGAGGGGGAAGGAGAGCTGGTGGTATTCCTGGGACTCTGCAAGGGAGGGAGTGAAGCTCAGACTGGGTTTTGCAACAGCCAGTCTGGGACAGACACAAGGGGCACTAGTGGCACATTGTGTTGGCCGGCCGCAGCACGCTAACACTGGAACAAAGGCACAAAGCACCCGAACGCGTGAGAGTATCTGTTTCCTCACATCCTTACTTGTATGATGTTTCCCTGATGCACAGAAGGCCCATGTTTCCTCAACACGAGAGGTGTTGTGCAACAGCGTTCCCTCCTTTGCAGGTCATAAGGCTTACCCGTGGAAATCTACAGACAAACACGGGGAAATGGCTTCAGCTTGCAGGACAAAACACGTTTCTTCAGACTGTGAGCGAACCAAAACATTAGGAACAGAGAATATGGTTTCGGCAGGTTGCCTCCCTCTGTTATCAGGTGTTCAAACACAGTGTACCTGCTGCCCACACAGCTGCTCGGAGCTCCTCCTCTCCTCCATCACCACCAGCACAACCACCTCAGGGCTCCAGCTGTTCCTAAATATTCTTTACGTGCAAGCAAAGTGCCAGATTTCAGCAGCGGGGCAGAGTTGTGTGTCCTCTAAGGGAAGTCAGAAAAGCACACACAGCTGACACCTAGTGGCTGAGCTGCAGAAATGCTGCACGCTAACGCTGGTGTTTCACAGGATCAAACAAGAGGGATAACGTGAACACGAGCTGTGTGTGTATAAACTATGCAGAATCTGGGGACTTTGTAGAGCAAGCAGGTAGTTTTCATTCATCCTCAGTCGATGGGTCTGCCTCCATATGTTCTCCAGTAAAATCCTTTCTAATAAAATCAGTTCACAGCCAAGTCATTTGTGAATTTTCCAGAGAAAAGAGACATTACTTTTGGAGACAGACTGATTTAAACACTACGATGCAGCGAGGACTCCGTCAGGTCAGAGGGACTGACGCAGACCAAACAGGAAGGACTTTGCATGTGTTTAACGTTTGCGCAGATCATCAATGAAAGTTTTCTGTAGCTGCAGCACACAATGAGGCAAAAGGTGAGTTCACGCTCGAGAAGGAAAGCTGCTCAAACATAAACAAGATGGTTATCTGCCTCCACTGTCTGCACACCAGCACAGAAGCCCTGACCCGCACCGCTCGCACGCTGGATCCAGTCGGAGAGCGATTCTGAATGTTTCTGCAAACAAAGTGAGCCCAGCCGTTCACAGAGAGGATAGAACCAGAACCTCCAACGTCAGCTCGAGGTCATAGAATGAGCTGCAGGTAGAAGGCCGGCTGCACTGAAGAACAACACCGAGTTTCATCACCGGCCTTCTTACGTCAAGATGAGTGACTAGATAGGCAACAGAATACCTCCTTTATGTCCCTGAACAAACTCTTCCTGTTACTGATATGTCCTCAAATCAGGCTTGCCCACATCAAAAGATAAGTGCACATGAGATAAAGTGCAGGAAGGTTGCATTCACATAAACACAAGAACCTGGAGCAGTGCATTTCAGAAGGTCTGTGGCTGTAAAGCAGATCAGGAAGTAAATTACATCTCTGCAGTGCAGTGAGTGGCCTCAGTGACAGGACGCTGCAATGAGACCTGCTCAGGAAGGATGCTGTGTTCAGGCGTTAATGTGGCCAAAGACCAGACCTCCACCTTCACCCACTGTGTCTGCATGGAGGTGATCATCGCTCAGCATCTGGACCAACATCAGTGTGCTTCCCTTTGCTTTCTGTCTTCATCTTCCTCCTCTTGTTATTTACTGTGTCGGCTTCAATACGACTTCTTTAACAAGAGCTGAGAAAGACGTCAGTGATCTGCTCAGAAGCCTTTCCTGCTTTTATTCGTCTGTATTTCCTGTGAACTCTCTTTTATCTCCTTTAATCACATTTCTGCCTCCGTCGCTCTGTTTTATTCACCACGTCGTGCTTTCATGTCTTTTCCATTCTGATGATTTATTTTGCTGCCCTGTGAAACACTTTGTCTCTTAGATTCTGAAAAATGCTGAATGAATAAATACTGTTGTTGTTGTTGTTGTTGTTGTTGTTGATGATGATTATGACGTCATCCTGCTTGAATGGACTTTGAATGAACATCCATTTATTGGTGAGTACAAAGAAACCAAACACGTCATCTGTTCCTGTAACAAAGCATCTGAATGAATAGTTTGCAAATTTAGAGATTTGTTCATAATATATAAGAAATCTCAAGCAGACGGCAGCCATGATGGCTTTAATGGTGATATCTAAATGATGTGATGACCTATTATCTGCTCTGTGTGTTATCTAACACGACATAAAATGGTTCCAGAGGTTTGACTGTCGGCTCGTTTCATTGTTTTCCAGCTTCTCTAAGTTTCCACATTGTTTTCTCCTCAGAGCTCAGTGGACAGGAGGTTGGTACGGCGTCCTGATGAAGGCCTGTGTGTCTGATGACCTGCCTGGTGTGTCTCTGGTTTGCTTATACCACGACTTCATACAAAGAGAGCTGAAGGTGCTTTACTGGACACTAAAACATAGAAATAAAATAAAGCAGGCTGTTTTCAAAGGCGACCCAGACCTGTAACAGCAAGAGGAGACTCAAACTATGGGCAAAGTCTTCAAAGCTGGCTTCAGATTTGATCAAAAGACTCTTTTATAGAGTTTATGTCCACTGTGGTCGTATGCAAATGCTTTGGGAGGAAATATGTCAATTTGCTTTTAAGGATGAACAACACTGCACGCAAATGAGCATGCAAAGCCAGCGCTGAGGTGAATACAACGCATGACAGAGGACACCAAACATGCAGTAAAATGGATCCTAATGTCTAGGATGTCACCAACGCTGTCACCATCAGGGTGAACGCTTGCTGGTGGTTTTCACAGCCTCGCAGTGGGAGCAGCAGCGACGAAAAAGCAGAAAAAGTTCTCGCTGAAATGACGCGATGAGCAAGCCGTGCAAACACAAACATTACAGGTGAAGCTTTTCTGGGAGAACAACTCAGAGCAAGTAAAGACAAAAGGGATTTAATTGTGTGCGCTCATCTCCTGACAGATAGTCACACCGAAGAGAATCAGAGTTCAAACCACAAGCAAATGTCAGGAAAATGCTCCGGAAAGATGAACACCACCTGCACAGCGACGAACACACACACACACACACACACACATACACACACCAGCTGGAAACAGAGTCGCTCGCTCTCACATGCAACACGTCAGAACAGTGGAAACCAGTGAGGCTGGTCACTGACGGTTACACCTCCTGCAGACGTAAAGCTCACACAACACACACAACACACACGCACACACACGCACACACACACACACACACACACACACACACACACACTGCTACACGTGTTGTCGATCAAAAACATGCTTCATCATGACAGAAGCTGAAAGGTCATGTCCAGTCATACCACACATGACATGTAAATGCTGGTCAGTAGTTTCAGGGCGACTGAACAACATTTGCTGTTACTTCACTGGGACATCTTCAGGTGGCAGGAGAAGGGAGGGCTTTGGGGTTTGCAGCTGAATTTGCATGCAACAATAATTCACGCCGCGCTGACACATATGCAGACTGCTCCCAATCCTCTGCCTTCAGTCTCCGGCTCAGCTGCATCATGGCTTTGTGTTTCATTCTGCTGGTTGCGTGTTGGCCGTTCACACCGAGCTGCAGCGCGACTTTACCCCAGTGGCTCCAGCACATCTCCACCAGCCTCTTCAACTTGTCCGGAGACATCGTGCTCGGAGGGCTTTTCCCCATCAACCAGCTCACCAGCAACCTGAGCCTGAGGAGGGAGCCCGACAACGTCAGCTGTGAAAGGTAAGGGGTTGAGAAAGTTTTGGGATTCTGCCCCATATGTGTGCTTCTCCTGACTAACCAGGGTTCCACTTTGGGGTTTTTTCTCTCCCAGTATAAATGAATACGGACTGGGCCTCGCTATCGTCATGAAATACGCTGTGGATGAGATCAACGCCAACCAGATTCTGCTCCCCGGCATCAAGTTAGGTTATGAGATTTACGACACGTGCAGACAATCTGCCGTCGTGGTGAAGCCGACGATCTCCTTCCTCACTGCGAAGTCCACCAAAGCGCTGTCTGTGGAGTGCAACTACACCGACTATGAGACCAGCGTGCCCGTCGTCATCGGGCCTTACAGCTCAGAAATGGTGTCGATCATCGGGAAGCTGCTGGGATTCTTCCTGATGCCACAGGTTTGGTCTCAAGTTCACCTGCTTGTCTGTGGCGTACGTTCTCTTAGAGAGCAGACTGGACATCATGTATGAACAAAAGTGAACGTTTGTGTCCTGTGTTAAAGAAAACTAACTGCTGTTTAACTGTTTGTTTTCTGAATGTCTACTGTTGTGCCTCAGAGCAGGGTCTAGTACATCTACATCAGTGATGAGAGAGGCTTAATAAAGCCATTGTTCTCTCTTCAGATCAGCTACGGCGCCACCAGTGACAAGTTCACCGACCACCTCCTCTACCCGTCCTTCTTCCGCACGGTGCCCACTGACAAATGGCAGGTGGATGTCATGGCCCTCCTGATGAAGGAGTTTGACTGGAACTGGGTGGCGGTGGTGGGCAGTGAGGAGGAATACGGACAACAAGGCGTGCAGCAGTTTTCCAAAGTGGCAGAAAAGATGTCGGTGTGTGTGGCCTATCAGGGCCTGATCCCGGTTTACACCGACCCCGAGCCGGCGGTTAAAACAATCATCAGCAACATCATAGCCACCAACGTCGGTGTGGTCGTGGTGTTTTCTCTCCCAGAGCAGGCTGAGGTCTTCTTTAAAGAGGTTAGTGGAGCCACTTTGACTTTGTATTACCTATTATCAGTGGACAGATTAATTCAGCAGCTGTCGTCCAATCCAATCTATTCCAGGTGATCCGCAGGAATGTCACAGGTGTTTGGATCGCCAGCTCAAGTTGGGCCATCCACAGCCGACTGGTCTCCCTCCCCAACATCCAAGCGGTTGGCACAATCATTGCATTCATTGACAAGACCCAGACGCTGGATCTGCTCGCTCCCTACACACAGGAGCTCCTCCTGAAGCTGAGCCAGGAGAGGGCGAGCACGCCGCCGCCAGCCTCAAGCCCCGGCAATCCTGACAATCCCTGTCCACAGTGCTGGAACCTGTCGCCTGCTAACATCAGCTTGGTGACGGACCCTGCAGTGCAGCGCACAGCGTTCGGTGTGTACGCTGCCGTCTACAGTGCAGCTCAGGCACTGCACAACCTGCTGGAGTGCAGCTCAGCTGCATGTAAGTGGGACCCAGAAACCAAAATCTATCCCTGGAAGGTGATTTTCTTTATTTGTCTGGTGTTTGTGTGACTGTACATGAATCAAGTCTTTTTTTATTTTTATTTTTTAGAAACACTGAAATTAAGTAACGAACAAAATCTTGTTTTGCAGCTGCTGGAGGTTTTAAGGAATACGTCTGTTGACATAAATGGCAAACAGTTAGTGTTTGACAGTAACGGCAACCCAAACATCGGTTATGATTTGATCGAGTGGGAGTGGAAGCCCTCAGGTGTGGACTTCAGCATCGTTGGAAGCTTTTATGAACAACTGTCCATCAACAAGTCGCTCTTTAAATGGCACACTGCAGAGGTAACGTCACCAAACCACGACAAGAACAACGTCAGCTCTGTCACCAGCTTCAGGCTGAATGTGATCCAGTTTGGGTTCCTGTTTTGCAGGTTCCTCAGTCCACCTGCTCAGGTGCATGTGGGGCCGGCCAGGTCCGCAGAGTCAAAGGTTTCCATTCCTGCTGCTTTGATTGTATCGACTGTTTGCCAGGAAGCTACCAGGCTGCTGAGGGTAATGTGGCTGTTATGACCCAACAGAAGAGAGCGACAGTTTGAGAAATATGCTGATTTGCTTTCTAAAAATCCACTGAATTCACACGTCTAATGTAGAATAATGTTAAAAACATGTAACTCTGAATAACCACAACATCTCTAAAATACTAATACTGCAAATTATACTAATTTCACAGATATTCTCCTTTTGTTTAGTAGATAAAGTTCAAATAGATAAGTTCAAATTTAATTCTGTAAATAAAGTTCTTTAATTAGATATAATTAGTATCAATTAATGGAAAAATAAGTGTTGGTTCTTTAATTCTATATAGATTTGTTTGTTAAATGACAGATGTCTTGCAAAACCACCAAAGTTTCAAGCCTATATTTTGATAAGTTGTCTCTTATTTTGAAAATGTTTTCACCTTTTTCTAGCTATATATGTGTCGATGTGTATCTCTATATTACCATATAAAATATACACAAAAATACGCATGTCTCATGTAACGTTAAGGCTAAAAGATATTAATTATGGAAAATTACTGCATTTTTCTTGGATTGTTTTGCGTTTACAGTATTTATTGTGGCCCAGCTGTAGGAATATTACTGTTGTGTTGTTGTTGGTTTTGTTTTGCCTTCAGCTGGTTCCCCAGTCAGAGGGAAGCAGGGAGACGGTCTACGATCCACCTGCCAGCACCGCTAAAGCTCACTAATTGATATGTTACAGGTGTTTTTTGTTTAATTTGTGAAAGAAGCAAAATGTGAACATGACCTTAAGCAGTTTTGCAGGGACCATGTGTGGACCTCTTTATTGGCCACGCAGCAACGACCAACAGTCTTATTATCATCATGACGTTGCCAGGCAACCGGCAAAGACTCGAGGAAGTCACTGCATGCAGCCAAGAAATAATCCCACACAAAGACCCTCTTAAAACCCGACTTGATGTTGTTTAGAGGTGCTCTTGGCGATATTGTTACCTTCAGAGAGGGCCAGGCCGCCTGTTCCTCCTGCTGCCAGTCTCCAGACTCAGGAGGGCTAACCAGCTCCAGGTTTAATCCACAGACCAGGGAGTGCTATTGATTTTCTCATCTCACCCTCTGCAAGAGAGCATAAAAGCACATCTCCCTGATGCAATCAAAGCATGCATAACGTGCAGCCATGGTCTGATTTGATTTCTAAATGACGGGCTTGTTAATCAGATCAAACTTCCTGTTGTGCTTTCTGCTCATAGAGGACATCCAGTGCACCAAGTGTCCTGAGCGTCAGTGGTCCCTGATCCGCAGCACCAACTGCACTGAGCCCACCTTCGACGTCTTGTCCTGGGACACGCCTGAGGCCCTACAAATGGTTCTGATCGGGGTGGGCCTGCAGGTGTGTCAGGCGTCGGTGGGCGTCGTGTTCTTGATGCACCGAGGGACGCCGCTGGTGAAGGCCTCGGGGGGACCCCTGAGCTTTGTGGCTCTGCTCAGCCTGATGGGAGCCTGCTTCAGTCTGCTGCTCTTCCTGGGGCAGCCGGGAGACGTGGTGTGTCGTCTCCAGCTGCCCTTCACCTCCATGTTCCAAACCGTCGCCCTCTCAGTCATCATGGCTATCTCGCTGCAGGTGAGGAACAGCAGATTGAACATCGCTGTACTGTAGGACGAAGTAAAGATTTTAACCAGGCTTCTGTTCACACAGATTTTCTACGTGACAGAGTTCCCAGAGATGGCCGCCTCTCACCTGCACATACTGAGAGGTCCTGGGAGCTGGCTGTTTGTGCTCGTCTGCTGCGCCGTGCAGGCCGGCCTCTGTGGATGGTTCGTCCAGGAAGGTCCAACACTGTCTGAACACGTGGCAGATATGACCATAGACTTCGTGAGGGCGTTCTTGTCCTGTCCAGTGCTGCCTTTGTCTGGATTTGCCCTCATGCAAGGCTTCAACGGTGCGATGGCCCTCGTGTCATTCATGTGCACCTTCATGGCAGTGAAGCCTCTCCATCAGTACAACCTGGCCAGGGACATCACCTTCTCCACCCTCATCTACTGTGTGACCTGGGTCATCTTTATTCCAATCTACATCGGCTTGAACACCAAGAACAGGTCGATCGTCCATGTTTACTTCACCCTGGTGAGCGACTTCGGGCTCATGGCGGCCTACTACCTGCCAAAATGCTACCTGCTGTTGAGGAAGCCTGAGCTGAACACACCAGAGCACTTCTGCACCTTCCTGGAGGGCGTCCCACCGACACAGGCTCAGGAGGAGCCACAGCCACAGCCAGAGAAATGAACGGGACTCCTACAACACGACGTTATGAATAAAACCAGAACTGCAGACTTGCATGCGTTTCTATGTGCAGCTGTATATGAATGAAAACTTGTTTATTTTAGGCCTACAGCCAATAAAACGTGTATTATATCAGGCGACAATACTTGGCTGAATGAATCATGTAAAAAACAAACTCATACATGAAGTCTAGAAATAATATATGATGTAAAATGACCTGATGGTAGTTTAGTTGGTATTTGTCGTTGAATTTCTGTTTGTATGTTGTTGATATGAATGTTCCTAACAACTGCTTCGACTGAATATCAAGCATGGTGGAATAAAACCGACTATAAGATGCGTTTTCTTTGAATTTAATTTCTCCTAGAATCAGTAGAAGCAGCGAGAAGCTGGTGATTGTGTCTAAGAAGGTTCCTGAGTAGGAGCAGAAGTATTCGCTCACCCCGACCGGGTTTAGCTGCATCATCGACGGAGCAGCACACATAAAACAACAGCATTACACAAACAATGTGAAGCATGTTGGAAGCATGAGGAGAGATCAGAGGAATGAAGCTGACACATCCACACCTGATGTCCTCAGACTGCATTCAGAGTGACACCGACCAAACCCACATGACTCAGCGATCACCAGCCATGTGCTCGTGGTCACTGCAAGAGCGTCATCGCACAAAAATGCAAAAGTTATCGTGGAAATAAGACAGGCAGAATAGAAATGTACACCAGTTATTATTATTTATTGATATATAAGTTCCACCATTTAGTCGTGTTATTATTTATTTATGTAGACTTCAGAGTTGCTGGTAGGTTTATGAACAACTGTCCATCAACAAGTTGCTCTTTATAAACTGCAAAAAAATCAGTTGCAGAAATGATACGGACATGATTTCATCGCTCTGTGATCAAATCTGTACAGACAGTGTCTTATAGAGTGATATCATTCATCTATCTGTACTTACAGCTGAAACCAGACGTTTACTGTACAAAGAGACATAAAACCTTTTATTCTCACCATCTGACATTAAATCAGACTAAACGTTTCCTGTTTCAGCTCAGTCAGGATCACCAGCATTAGTTCTATCTGATAAACACCAGAATAATGAGAGAGAGAATGTTTATGACTTTCTTCAGAGTCAGAAGTTTACATCCACTAAGATCATTCAGACTGTTTGGGAAAGCCCAGATGATGATGTCATGGCTTTGGAAGCTTCTGATTGGTTAA